TTATCCACTTCATCTGGGATTTTTTTTTTGGCCAAGATTCATCAGGTTTATTTAAAGTGAAAGTTGTTAGTGTTGTTTAGGCAAGCCTTTAATGAATGAATAAATATGCTTCTTCTCTTCTGTGCTTTTATTTTTTCTTCTGGTTTGGGCACAAGGCTGGATTTTCTTAGACTCAGTATTAGGACATCTGAACAACTATTTCACCATGCAAATTCTTTTCTTTTTTTGAGGTTCCAACTTTCTGATGCTGCACGATTTGTTCCAATCCCACTTGTTAACTTTATGTTTTCTGTTTCTTGCTGTGCTGTCATGTTCATAGGTCTTAATCTTGGAGCAAAATATGCAGTTGTGGTTTTGCAACAGAGTGATTATGATGCTGTTTGTTTACTTATTTGTTTGTTTGTTTGTTCAATTTGTTGATAGAGAATGAGCTATCCATCAACTCAATTTGCCACCTCAAGACAAATGGGGATATACGAGCCGTTTCGACAGGTTGGTGTGTGGAAAGAAACATTCAGGGGTGATCATAGCTCAAACACAGGTGCTTCTTCAATTCTAGAAGTGGATGCTGGGATAGAAACCAAGGTGAAGTTAAATGAAGCTTGGTCCCTTTTTCTTCAATGTTAGATTCAGTATACTTTTACTTCATGAACTTAAATTGATTCTCTGATTCTTCTCCTCCAGATTGGATATGTTTCTCATGAATCCTTGGCACCATCTGGAAATGATCAAGAACCAAACAGATCTTCTGATAAGGTGATGGTTTTGCTTCTCACCCCACCTCTTCTTACTTTCTTGTACTGCTGACCAAAAAAGAATTTGTTTGGTTGAACTGATGACACAGGAAGAAAAATTATTTACCAGCTAATTTACCTGTTCATTTGCTACCTTTATCGTATATTTCAGCTCTTTAGAGTTATATATATTCGGATTGACTTGTATTCATATGGTACTTTCTTTGACTAAAGCACATAAGGGCACCTTCATACGGCATGGTCAGGCGGAAAATTAAATATGTGATTTGATGAAGCTGTTTTCTTTCTTTATTTTTTCTTTTTCCTGTAAACGGACTTTGAAGTGTAAATATCTCTGTACAGGTACAGAGGCGCTTAGAACAAAATCGTGAAGCTGCTCGCAAAAGTCGTATGCGGAAAAAGGTGAATATGATTATTAATCACCTACAAGTCTTTCACTGATGTTTTTTCATTCCTAGAACTTGTGATGTTATTTGAACAATCTCATCTTGTTCTACCATAGGCTTATGTTCAACAACTAGAAACAAGCCGCTTAAAACTGGCACAACTGGAACAGGAACTTGACAGAGCTAGAAAACAGGTGAGGGAAAATTACCCTTATTTGTCTTTGTTCATGTTACCATCAGATGTATATCCTTTTTAGTCAGCATTGAAATATAATTTCATCAGATAAACCGGCGGCTGCCTGATTTGCAGGGTGCCTATGTAGCCAGTTCATTAGGTACAAGTCATATGGGATACAATGGAGCTTTGAATTCAGGTTTGTGATTCTGAACTGTTTTAAATTGTTTTGAGCAGTTCCAGCTATGGAAAATATTTCCCTTAATGACCTAATTACCAATTAGTTTTCAGTAATTTAAGTCGTACCTTCTATTGCATTATGTTAATTCAGCTGTGAATCTTGCAGGGATCACTACATTTGAGATGGAATATGGACATTGGGTTGAAGAACAACACAGACAGAATGTTGAACTCAGAAATGCATTGCAAGATCATGGAACCGATATAGAACTTCTTCGAATACTTGTAGAAAGTGGCTTGAGCCACTACGCTAATCTTTTCCGGATGAAGGCAGATGCTGCAAGGGCTGATGCCTTTTACTTACTGTCTGGCATATGGAGAACATCAGTAGAACGCCATTTTCACTGGATTGGAGGATTTCGCCCATCAGAGCTTCTAAATGTAAGGCGTATTTAGTTCAACTCAGCATTTGAGGACTGCAGGGACTTGATTTTTTTGGTCATTATTTCTGATAGGCTATAGTGCAATTTAGTTCATCCAATGTGTAACATACTGCATTGTTTCCTTCATTCAGATTGTGTTGCCACAGCTTCAGCCATTGGATGATCCACAATTTGTGGATTTCTGTAACTTGAGACAATCGTCTCAGCAAGCTGAAGATGCTCTCACGCAGGGAATGGAGAAGCTTCAGCAGAATTTGGCGTTGACCATAGCAGGTGATCAAATCAGTGGAGAAAGTTATGGATCTCAGATGGCTACTGCATTGGAGAAGTTGGAAGCACTGGAGACCTTTGTGGGCCAGGTGATGTATCAATTAGAATTGAAAGCAAATTGCATAAATCCAACACTCATTGGCTTTCTTCATGATGAAATGATCACATTGAGAGATTTTGGATCTTTGTTGTCAAAAGGGTTTAAATAATGCATCATCAAGATTTAACTGTAAATCTGCTCTATAATATTTCATGAATTTAAAGTCATAAACACGTGTACACATATGACTCTCCATGTAAATATGCTGAACTGCATGTGTTGCTCTTGTCCAAGACAGGCGGATCACCTCCGGCAGCAAACTCTGCAGCAAATGTCTCGAATCCTAACGACTCACCAGGCAGCTCGAGGCTTGCTTGCGCTCGGGGAATACTTTCACCAGCTGCGTGCCCTCAGTTCTCTTTGGACTGCCCGTCCCCGTGAACTGACATAGTCAGCTGCAAGCCTCCTCTGCTGAAATATATATTCTTTTCCAATCAACTTGCCTTGTTTCAGAGGTTGTAAATATGTTCAGCTTAGTGGCTGCCTGAGTGTACCAATTCAAAACATATAGGTTTTCAAGTCATATGTCTCCAATGCCTGTAGCATATTAGCTAGTTTGTTGGGTAGATTGATTTGAAATGCAAGATGAATTAGCTGTTACTTGATGTGTAAATTCGCTTGAGACAATTATTGCCATATGCATGCCAGCAGTTACTATTTCTATTTTATTAAGGTTTGGTCAGGGAGTGAAATGTGCAAATTGTTCTTCTTCTTGTTGTCATCTCCCTGAAGTTATATATTATTTGGAATTCATATTCCTGTTTGCCTGATGATTTGCACATTTGATCAATAGCAGAATTATGTTCCTGGTTTTAAAGTACAAAATATGTAATACATACTCGTGTTTATTAACACAGCTTAATCAAATCGTGAAATATTCTCTTATCAGATAAGCTCACGTGGAATATGATCTTATGATACGATTCATTTTATCAATTTGATAAAGTAAAAGAATAGTAATCCATAATTATCAATTTGATTATAAACTTCTAATCAACATAATTAGCAATTTGACAAAAGAGAGGCCCATCTCAATTAGCACTTAATTTATGATCAATTAATTATTAGACTCCAATTGTCATGGATGAATATTTGCTTTTGTGAAATGAGAAAGAGGTTTTATTTATATTATTGTGGTGCCTCTAATATTTAAAATAAAGAAAAATACCACATTTCCCCTTTTTTGACTTTTTGTCTTTTGGCGGGTACTGTCCGAAGTCCTAACTGTCATGCTACGGGAAGCCAAACCGTCCACAAAAATTTCCCGGGTAAATTAAATATAAAAAAAGAGGAAAATACAAATACCAAAATTACAAATTAAAGAAAAATACGGGAAAACTCAAAGATTCAGTCAGATTCGAAGAAATGTTCATTATCAGAACCTTTTCACTTTCTTCACGTCTTCAACCTTCGTAACCCCAATTGTTACCCCAAGAGCAAACCCTAATTTTTATTTCTAATTTGATTCTCTTCATTTCCTTCTAATCGGTCGGAGGTCTGAGCTGAAAGCCTGAGATAGTACGCGAAAAAAAATGAGCAATTTGAGAACCATCTGTAGGCCCCACACGGTCTTCACCTCCTTCATGTGTTGCAGACACCAAGCTCGCTTTAGCTCTAGGGTTTCATTTCGAAACCCTAATTACAACCCTCGTTTTGCGCCTGTGTCCGATTTTGCAAGATTGAATTGGAGCGGGTCCTGGTTCAGAGTGAATCAGAGGAGGACCATGGTTAAGGCATCCAATTGGGACCAACCCAAGTCTCCCTACGAAACTCTGGGTGATTGAATCTTTCTTAACTGGGAAAAGTTTAAAGCTTCACGCTTTGATTTTGTGAATTCTGGTATTTCTAACAAGTTCATTGTTTCTGTTTTTTTTTTTTCAAACACAGAACTAGAGAGGGACGCTGATGACGACCAGATCAAAATTGCTTACAGACGTTTGGCCAAATTTTATCACCCGGATGGTTTGTTCCTTTATCTTCATTAGAAATGCTTTTCAAACCTTTTTCATATCTGTAAATTGCTAGTATAATCACAAATAAAAAGAAACATTTTGTAAGGAAATGATGTATGTAAAAATTAGTGGTTCAATTAGGTGAAACCCTTTTTCTTGAATCTATTGGCCATAATGAAGGGTGCCTTTGTTTTATTTTTTATTCGGTCATGTTAATTCCAATATGAGAACCTTTTTTTTAATTTTTTTTATACAATCGAAATTCTACTTTAATCTAATCTAAATTATGAGGAAGGGGATTCGAACTTGGGTGCAGAGTGGGGAGCACATCCGCCCTAGCCAACTTGGCTAAGCCCATGTCTGCCAACATGAGAACTTTTTGGATGCAACAAAGTTGTAGTGCAAAACAGGAACTATTAGAAGACATTGAGAATTGTTATTTGCTTTTCTTCCTTAATTTTCATGTAATATTTTACTATCTTTCCTTGTGTATTAGATGGGTGCATGTTTTTTTTTTTTTTTTTTTTAAAGTTCGGTCGTGAGTGAATGCTCTTTGCAATATATTTGTCCCCTTTGCTTTCTATTGATTTTTGGGCTTAAAATTTTGTCTTTATTCTCTGAATTTTAAGTTGATCTGGTTGTCTCTCTTTTCTAGTCTATGATGGTAGAGGGACCCTAGAGGAGGGTGAAACAGCTGAAGCTAGATTTATAAAGATTCAAGCTGCTTATGAGTTGCTCATAGATGAAGACAGGAGGGGACAATATGATAGGGCTAACCGAGTCAATCCAATGAAAGTAAGATTCGTAGTTCGCATTTTAATTACAGTGAACTTTCTTGCTGATTATTTTAGGATATATAAATGCTAATGTTTTGAGCATAAATACGAAAATGTAAAGTAGATTCATGAGTTGTATGATAATTTATTAATAAACTGATAGCTTGGCTCCTTTATTATTATTTTAGTAATGGATTCTTTGTGTGGACCGTTATATCAGGCATCTCAAGCATGGATGGAGTGGCTAATGAAAAAGAGAAGAGCTTTTGATCAGCGAGGTGATATGGCAATAGCAGCTTGGGCAGAGCAACAGCAGCGAGAGCTGAATATTCGTGCACGTCGACTTTCTCGTTCCAAGGTATAGAATCATTCTTTTAGTACATGAGTTAGCTGTAAAAAATTGTTTATGTAGTTCGCAAATGAAAATAAAAACAATATATGCTGCAGAGCCTTGCCTTTTGCAGGATGTAAAAGCATCAATGGCAACTATATATCTACTTGTCTCTTATCATTACTGACCCAATACTCTGTTCAAAAAGCTCATGCTCATTTCTATGATCTCAATTTTATAAGTAGCATCAAGCTATTATGTCATTTTATTTTGGCTGCATTCTCTCTTACTTAATGCCTAGGGCCATTGGAAATCCAGGTTGACCCAGATGAAGAGAAAAGAATCCTAGCAAGAGAGAAAAAGGCCTCGGCAGAGTATTTCTCCAGTACCCTCAAGCGGCATACGCTAGTGTTAAAGAAAAGGGACATAATGAGAAGGAAAGCAGAGGAAGAGAAGAGAAAGATCATCGGTCAGCTTTTAGCGGCAGAGGGACTTGAGCTCGACACAGATGATGAAGAGTCACGGTAGAGAAAAATTTACTCATTGGCTTCCGACATTGTATTATAGAATACCTTTTGGATTGGCCCATGGAGACAAATCCTTCCATATTTGTATTGTACAACGAAAGTAGAAAGAATCTGTATATATATCTTCCGTTGGAGAAATTTATAGAAATTAATGAGAAATTTAGATTTTATTAAATCAATGCATTCCTCTGCCTGTATTTGTATATGCTTCAAAGAGAGGTCTAAATTTTCAAAATGTTTGAGCAGCCTTGAACTTAGCCGAAGTGTTTGACAACGCCAATTTAAAAATATAAGGTTTCAATAAGAACTTAGCTTTATTCACCAGAACTTTACAGTTCCTCGAAATAAGAGAGATAATTACAACTTCATCATCTCCCCACAAAAGTATGATATGCATGTTACAAGTAATTTGATTACTTTGAAGAGCGTATTATGCTTAACAATCTTTTGCTTGGTAAAACTAAATACTAAAAGAAAATGTTGCCATCTTCTTAAACAGAAACTGTTTGTTGCACCGATCCTCTATCAGATGAAATCGAGCTTTACTCATCATATATCAGAATTGTTGACATACGCTGAATGCCTCTCCACAATAAGTTCGATAAGCGGACTCTCCACATCATTATCACCGAGAGAATTGTTTCGATGAACTGAAACTTTTTCGTTACTTCTGACAACTACAACCTCTTCCTTGCGGGTCGAAAGTTCATTCGCTACAACCATATGCATCTTGTACTTCTTGAGAGCCATATCAGCCTTCTCTAAAAGAATCTTTGAATCCGTCTCTAGCTGTTTAGACAGTCATGTCAATGGTTTTTATTCCAATAAAGTAATTCTGCATCTTGCAAGTTCTGTAATTTACTTTCATTATGGATATGACAGGTGAGCCAGTTGAGCAGGGGGGCTAAACTATCAATTTTTAAAATAAAAACATTAAGAAATTAGAGAAAGTTAAGGGGTATGATACTTAATGGTATATATATGATTGCATCGTACATGTCGAGGAAGATATACGCATCTACTTTCTTTGAGACTGAAGACATAATGGACAACTTCAACTTAAGTCAGTTAACCCAACCTTTTATATTTTTCATGTCTAATGTAACACAAACACAAAGATTAGAACTCAGTTAAATCCCCAAAAAAATAAAAAAAATAAAAAAATCATGTACAGGTTGACTGTTACCCAGCCTCGCCCACAACCCTTCTGGACAAAAGGCCATACATACTGCTAATCCCCAGATACAGGAAAAACAAATAAGGACTAAAGTGCAGCAACAGAACTCATGAACAGATAAAATTTATGGATATGCCAGTAACTAAAGATAAGCAGAAGCTTCATATCTAACCTTGAAAGATATACAGAAGGCCTTTGGTGCCCAGTCTTGCCTTAGCACTAAGAGCATCTTTGGCACCTGAACAAGTCGCATGTCCAACGGACCAGTCCCTGACTGAATTTTGTGTTCAGCCTGCACAATCCTGCTTTATTAAGAAAATGGTGCAGCTGATGCTTATTCTTGGATGAAACTTGTACATATACAGGATGGAGGAGGATACTGATTCTTTTTCCTTTATTTCATAAGCAAACTTCCCAATGACTAATCGCCAGCAGATTTTAATTTAAACAAGCTATTAAACATCAAAGATTCACATGTCAAGCCGTTCCCGCCCACTTAGAATAATATTGAGGTCATAAAAATGTCTAGCACTTTGCAAAGGACTAGCTTATATTATTTGACTCCAGAGGTTCATATATGCCTCTAAGGAAATGCAATCAAGCTTCCAAGGAACATAGTCAAGCTATTGCTACCCCTTCCAATGAATATTGAGGTTAAAAAAACACATCCTCTAGCAATTTTAGAAGGGCTGTGCTTATGTGATCTGTCTGCTGACGTACAGCAAGAAAAACAGAGTAAAATGCACAACACAAATTTTCAACATATTTACCATGCTCTTCCAAGGAACATAAAAGTCAGACACTGCCGCTGCAAGATAAAGCATTGCATGTGGTCCAAGACTTCTCATTGATAAAGCAATCATCTGCAACATCTGCGCATAATACAAAGACCAATTAGTCAAGCATAGGAGAATAACTATTATATCTAAAACAACCGACAACATTTTGTGTTCAAAAATTGTATTCAACAACTGAAGCGAACCTGAAGATACTCAAATATGGTTGTAAAGGGAAGTTTCAACAAGAGGCTTCCTGTTACTGCCTGCAATAGAATACGGCCCACAAAGCATTCATTGTTACATTGAGCTATTATAGACCAGGAAAACAGTCAAATTACAGAGTGAGTAAAAAAAGTTAAATGCGGAATAAGTAAATACATATACTACTGAATGCATGATAAATATAAGTGGTCCATACAGCACGATTCTTAGTGATGGCGTTCCTCACTGCTTCAGAATGTGGCTGGGACACTGGAATGTGAAACAAAGTTCAGTCATCTGAGCAGGAACCGTCAAAGGTTTGTATAATATTAATTGTGAGATTTGATTATTTGGCATCACCTGGAAGCTGCTAAAGAAAAAATACTTGAAAGATTCTGGTTTCCCATCTCCCCAAAACCCAATAATCAAGCACAATCAACTCCCTTAGAACAAAAAAAATCCAATCTTTTCTAATACTCTACCAAACATGTCAAAACGCTACAACAATGTAGCTGACAAGGAGAAAGTGTTATGTAGCCTATCAGACTCACTGGCAATTAGGCCATGTTTGAGTAGTGTACTTATAGAGCCATTGCACAATGATTGTGTTTCCATCACATATTGTGGCCTTTTCTCAAGGTAGAAATTTTTGTTGCTGAAATAAATGGTATGAACTAATTTAAGTATACTTTGTCAGACCTAAACTTGAGAGGGAGGGGTATAAGTTTTCACTACAGTCATCCATGTGCATTTCTATTCTAAATACAAAAAGAAAAACATATTACAATAACTACAAACCTTCAATATTTGACTCATCCATATATTCAAAACATTCAAGCAAGGGATCATCGGGAAGAGATCTGCAATATGGCTGGCAAGTTCCCCTGCATAACATTTAAGGAAAATCCAAAAAATATAAGCAATAAGTCTATTCTACCGTACAAAATTGTTGAAATGAATAGAAGATATATAAAATGGTAAAACAGAAATTACCTCCGATAAAGAAAGATAACAGCATAACCTGCCTTCAAAAAGTACCTGCAATATTATCAGGCAAGTTTAATCTGTAAGTCTGTAATATTAAAGATGGCATACTCAGCGAGTTGTAAGGTTATATACTCTGTGGATGCTGCTCCTCTATAACCTGAGCTGAAGTTGTCGATGTAGCGAACACATCGTTGCTCTAGAGGAACTGTGGTACCCCCCGATGTCACACAGACAACCTTCCTAACTCCTCCACTTCCTACAAAACATGTCAAATCAATCAAAATCCACTGAACCTAAGGTGATCAATGAAAAATATAACTGTGACAAAGCAAAAAGTGAACATGCCAGAAGGTAATGAATTCTTCTTCACAAATTCCTTGAGTTTTTCACTGATATCAACTCTGTTCTTCAAAGGAGGAGCTGAGTCAAAAAAGGCTTGAATTTCTGCATCCAGTGTTTCTTTTGGAATTTCCAACCCATTTGTTAGAGACATTTGCAATTGCCTGCAATCCAATTTCTTATCAAAAACCCACAATATGATTTCATGTAAATATGCAAATGCACCGCCAACATACAGAGAGATTAGTAATTAAAACTTTCCAACTTGGTACAAGGTTCACTAGTCTGAAGATTATGAAGTTACCCTCATAACTCAAAATTATAAACCATCTGCTAAGTAGGAAAATGACTACACGAAACAGATTTATTAAGGTAGAAACTGAACACAGTTGAGACTAAACTGAGGATCAACTACATATAAACCCCCAGCCGCACCAACCCACCAGCCACCTCCCCAACTCTCCTGCCCTTATACCACCGCCACCTTCTTCCTCTCTCTCCTCCGCCTACACCACCTCCTTCCTCTCTCTCCTCCGCCTGCACCACCTCTCTCTCCCTCTCTCTCTCTGCCCCAACTCTTCAGAATTTCATACGCAATCATGAAAAGGTGAGAGGACAGATATGACATATATGGAAGGGAAATCAAACTGAATGCCTTTAGGTAACTACTAAGCATTTCGTTTGATGGAGAGGTCCTCAAGTTTAATCCAAAATACAATCACGACATTGCTAACCATATAAAATTGTGACCCATAATACAAATTCAAAACCAAAAAAATCCGAAAAATCAAAAGGGTAGCATTGATGGGAAGTTGAAAGCTTACCTAAAGAACAAAGACAACGGCAAACTTGGTTGAGAAGATTTGAGAGCTCAAAATATAAAGAAAAGGATAGGTAATTGTAAAATGGGGCAAAGATACCCCTAAATTCTCAACCCCAAAATATGTATGCTGGGATATTAAAGCAGAGATTCATTACAAATCAGAACCAAATTGGTATTGAAATCCCCCAGTATCTTTGAATTGCGAAGAAACTCAAATGCATAGAACTAATACAAAAAGGAAAATTTGCCACACAAAAAAACCTGTATAGAGAGACCTGAGAGCAGCTGGTGAAGAGTTGGAATGGGTTTGGTTTTTGATGCAGAGAGACGGTGCCCGTTTGAAGATTGGAAAGAACAACAATTTATTTTGGGTTGTGTACTTTTAAACTTGTTACAAGTATGGAACGTTGAGATGTTTCACAGCCGTCTATTCCCGCGAATATGTAAATGATGAAAATCAATGGACATGAATGTGACCCCACCCACTCTATTTCGGCAGTCCAATTTGACTTGGTGTATAATTAATTATGAATAAAATTTGTAAGGAGATTGTAGTTTAAATGGTTAAGAACATTTATCTGTTTCTAATTTCGATTCTCCTTTCCTTTTTCAATGGGTAATAGGGTTTAGGAAAATACTGCTTGTAAGTTGTATACAACAAAAAACAAAAAGAAAGTCGAAACAAATTTTAAACTTAAGAAAATAAAAACCAGATTAAAGTGAAGGAAAATACTTCCCTCTTAACTCTATATTTAGGAACTCTTATTACAGCAAATAACAATATGATATGTGTGTATAAATTTTTAATGAATTATTTGTGTACATATGTCAAACTGTGAAACACCTACTTCCACAGAAAGAACCAAACAATATCCAAAGAGAGAGGTAGCAAAATTAAGGTAAAGGGTTTTTTTGTTTTTGTCAACAAAAATAAGATAAACGTGTGTGGTATGTCTACCTACCACAATAAATTATTAAATAACATAACTAGGAAAAAATAAAAAAGGAAACCGGGTATTGAACCCGACGTGAATCGAACACGCAACCTTCTGATCTGGAGTCAGACGCGCTACCATTGCGCCACGGATCCGGTTGTTAAACTTCTTGCGTTAGTTTTTATATATATTAACTCTCTAACCAAGCGACGTCGTTTCCTAACTGCTCATTAAGTAGGTACACTGCCAAAACGCTTCAAAAGAGAATTCCCGCCAGAGCCCAACCGTTTAACAGCTGGAACATCACAGCCGTCTTCTCCAAGAAACCCCTCATTTCCCCACATTCTTGCAGAGAACCCAACAATGGCCGTCGACCCATTGAAGCTCTCAATGGCCTTCGACCCATCAAAGCTTCAGACCCAAATCGACATCAAGCCTCCACCGCCTCCGTTCTTCACCGAATCAGCTGCCGAAACCCTCCAAGAACCCAAGCTCTCCTTCTTCGCCTCCCGCTACCGTCGTCCTCGCCGCCGTCGAGCTGACACGTGGCTCATCTCGCTCTTTGTTATTCTTCATGTCGTTGCCTTCATGGCCACCATGGTCGTCAACGACTGCTGGAGCAAGTCTCATGGCGACTGTGCTCTGAAGGCCTTTGGGAGGTTGTCGTTTCAGCCGCTCTCCGAGAACCCACTCCTCGGCCCTTCGGCTTCCACGTGAGCTTCCCTTGCTCTTGTTTTCAAGCTTTTTATTTTGTTTTTTTATTTTAAGTGAGGATGAGTTTTCTTGGTGAAATCTTGGTAGGTTTTGTGTGAGTTTATGTGGGTTCTCTCTGTTTGTAAGGTTACTGAGAAAATGTGGGAGAGAAGTACAAGAAATGTTCGTTCTTTGGGTTGAATTAATCTCTTCTGAGATCTTTCATCTTAAATGTTCGTACTGTGTATCTGGCTGCTGTGATCAATTTTGAGCAATTGGTTGATGTTGCGTTAGTCTAATTAGGTTTTCTCTGTTTGGTTGCTGAGAAAACAAAGGAACTGGTAAATAGATAGAAAGGTTTTATTTTTCTCTTTTCACATAGTTTCCTTTATTATTTTTAAGTCTCATCAAAGGGATACATCCGATTGTTGTCACTGGCTTTTAGAAACTGTACCCGTGTTTGAGATCAGTTTTGATCGAAGAGTCGAAAATTTTCTTATAGAACACATTTGGTTCTTCAGTTCTGAGATCAGTTAAAGGTTTTGTTGCCAAAAACTCGGTTGCCTGTTCTGTGGAGGCTTTGGTAGAATTCAAAGTGATTTTTGTAGTCTTAGGATTTGGCCTCATATCGAATTGTGTGAATTAAGAGATTGTTAGAACGGTGATTCTAAAATCTGTTTCTGGTACATATTTTCTTTTGTCCTTCAGACCTAATGTTAGTGGCATTGCAGGCTTGATGAAATGGGAGCTCTTCGACGGACTTTTTTGTCAGAGAACCACCAAACTTGGCGTCTTTTCACATTTCCATGTCTGCACGCCGGAGCCATCCACCTTGTGATCAACCTTAGCTGTGTTATCTTTGTTGGAATTCACTTGGAGCAAGAGTTTGGACCAAGTAGATTTTCCTTCCCATTTCAATTTCTGGACGTTATTTTACATGAGCAGTTAGGTTATGTGTAGCTCTTGAAAATTGCAGACACTGAATCACTGATGTTCTTAAATGTTTGTTTCTTTCAAACAGTAATGGCAGGGTTAATCTACATACTCTCCGCTTTTGTTGGTACGTTGGTGGCTGCACTTTTTGTTGAGAAACGCCCGTCAGTCGGTTCTTCCGGAGCTCTGTTTGGGTTACTTGGAGCTACACTTTCTGCACTGATTCAGAACTGGGAAATGTACACCAATAAGGTTTTCCACCTACTGCCTTTCTCATTCAGTTTGATCTGTGTCCCATGATCTGACTTAGTAATGTAATGATTGTTCATTTGTTTGGTTGCAGTTCACAGCTCTGGCATCAGTAATATTTGTCTCCATTGGCAATTTTCTCCTTGGTTTGCTACCTTATGTTGATAATTTCTCAAGCATTGGAGGCTTTATATCTGGGTTCCTACTCGGATCTGTGTTTTTATCCAGTCCCAAGGTCAAAGAAGTGGCGCAAGATAAAGGAGGCCTCATGGATTATGATCTCAAAAGTTATATCAAGTCGAGGTTGAGGCAGAAGTTGGACAGGCCAGTCTATAGGAGTGTCTCTATTCTTCTCTTTGGTCTTATGTGAGTGTTTCTCGTTTTTATAGAAAATGCTGCACATTGTTTCTTATCAGTTTAAATTAACATGAGCTCTTATAAGTGGAGCTTTATTATATGCTGCAGGCTTGCTGGATGTCTGGTAGGAGTTCTGCAAGGCATTAACATGAACCAGTACTGCGGGTGGTGTCGGTATGCTGATTGTGTCCCTTCCAAAAGCTGGAGCTGCAGAGACACGGAAAATTATTGTGAGGTATCTATCGGATCCTAGCACTTCAATCTGTATAAAACTGAAAGTAATCCTCCCCTCCTTTTCCCCTTCCCCTATACAAAAGAAGCAAGTAATCTATTAGAACCTAAACATGGCTTTAGTTTAATGGACAAGTGTCTCTCTTCACACTGTTGAGAAGCAGTGCAACCAAAGATGATTTCAACAACATTCTAGGAACCAATAAGAGGAGTAAACTATTAGAACCTTTAACAAGCATTAGCACTCATTATGATTTCACATGTACCCTGCTTAGAAAGTGAGCCACCCTGAACATGGAAGTTCTGCTAGGAAAGTATTAGTCATCTAAAGAGACTCGCCGGCGAAGAAAAGAACTGTAATTATAGATAAGATAGGAAAGGAAGGTTTTCATCTTATATGTCAGCTTGGAAGGTTATTTCTTCCTCCCAATCACTTCAAATGCACTCAAATGTATTCTGACCAACTTTCTTACAATCGATCTTGCAGACCATGGCGAGCAATGAACAGTTGACTTTGACGTGTATGGCTAACGGGAATTTCAGGGTTCTTCCATTCACCAACATCTCTCAAGCTAGGACGAACGACTTGTGCAGTGTGATATGCTCATAGAATTTGCCACTCTTGTGATTCTGTTACGGCATGGGGAAAGATACAAACTTGTAATATCAATACTGTGTTGATAGCCATCTAGTTAATGTTGACTTTTGCAGTAGAAAATTTCAGCAAAGTTTGTAAGAGCGTTGACATGACATATATTTGCATTTTGAGCATTTTAACCGTCTCCCTTGTTGATAGTACCCCACATCAAATGACGAAAGCTTGATGAAAGCTTAAAAGCCCGTCGATTGTCAATTAGTTTTGGGTTGAATGCTCACATTCTAATAAGAGGCATAAAATTGAAAATCGTTGTCAAGTTTCTAAAGGGTCTTGTTTTCAGAATTCCAATCCTTCATAAAATCTGCATTTCTGGGTCCCCTTTAGCGTCGGCCGCCAGGCTTAAGTTTGATTAGAATTCAACTCATCCATCCATGGCGGGACCGAATCAAACAATTATCATAAACGACTAGTTAGTGCAACTGTTGCTATTTGTGATGAAATTTAACTGTTTGTCGACTCAAATAAAATATTTTGGGAAATCTCAACATCTAGCGCCCGTGGCCTAATGGATAAGGCATCTGACTTCTAATCAGGCGATTGTGGGTTCGAGTCCCACCGGGCGTGCTTTCTTAATTATTCCATTTTTATAAAACTTAGGCTCAGAAATCTTATCAAAGCCCACCTACATAGTCGGTTTAAAATCTTTTGTTTGGCCCACCAAAGGACCTAGGCTCTTCACAAAATTTATTTCATATTTGTACAATTTTATTTTAGGAAGTTGATTTTCTTACTTCTCTTTTGTCCATTTATACTCTCTTTGTTGAAAATTATATGTTATCACGCCTCTTTTATCCACTTACACTCTCTTGTATGTTATTATCACCCTTTTTTATTGTTATAAGGGCGGTATCCTAAACTATTCTAATATATCGGAAGGAAGTTCGAATTCGAATGCAATGGACCGGACACACTGCCTTAACAACTAACTCAGCCCACAATTGCATGTACAACTTGAACTATTAAATACAACTGCTTGATAGAACTTTTATTTAACATATAAATTACCAAAAAAAAATTATTAATATATATAAATATATGTAGATACTGATCTGAGGAAGATGTATTTAATTTCATAGTACAGAAGAATATCACACAACTTTATCTTTTTTGTTAATTTTTTTGACAGATGCGACCCCTTTTGCGGCTCTAGGTCTACACATTGGCCGCCCTTACAGTTAATTTACAGCCTTAGAGTGCCAGCAAACCGCAATGATTTAAAAGGTAAATACTCAATTACAGTGCCAGCAAAACCCTCAATTCACTCAATTGCTTTTAACAGTCACAGTTTTAGGCAGCCCAAATGCAAAACTCTTATTGGGTTTTCAAGCTTTATGCTTTTCTTTTCTCTCTTTTTTTTTGGTATTCTATTTGATCTGATTTCGACTATGGAGGAGAAGTAGGCAAGTAGGAGGAGAAAATGCATTAGAAAAATGCAGCTTTGGTATTTACTGTTTGGGCTGAATTTTTCAGCCTTAGTTGGACTCTATGGTGCTTTCAATCCAAAACCCTAGACCTTGGACCATCCACAACAATTTTTGTACTTAACCCTCCTCCTGCTGCTGCTGCTGCTGCTGCAGCTAAATCCATAAATAGCCCACAAAGTTTTTAAACAAAGCACGCACCAACCATAATGTCTCTGTGTGGGCAGCCTTAGCACACAAAAGCATACAAAGTAAAACTCCTAGTCTCTCTTTTGTGTGCTCAATTGCCAGCTAGTCTTGCCAATAATGATTTTTAAAGAGAAATTCTTTTGTAAAAGTTAAATTTCAAAGATTCTTTGACTAAGGAAGCATTTATTGATGCCTTTGTTGCACACACACGACACATTGCCCTAAAAGTGAACCTAAGCATCAAATACTAAGAAAGTGTATACTACTAAGACTGTGTTTTCCATGCATTATTGATCACATCTCTCACAAATACGAGACTGTTTATGCCAACGAATTTTGTCCGTACAAGAAATATGATTCGAGTCGCAGTTAGTAAATTTTCCACATATAATAGAAGGTGAGAGATTTGGCGTTATTTCCTTGTATGGCCACTCACTATACTCCATGATCAAATTATTCTAGGTACTTGTTTGCAGGAGTGTGAGTTGGCTAAATCAAGGCACTCTTGGTCAGAATCAACAAGCATGTCAGCTGTCAAAACTTATATGCAATTGGCATCTCAACAAGCGTATTGTTTTGTACCATTGAGCTTTTGCAACCATTGATTTGGCAACATGTGGCTGCTCTCCCACTTATGCACATTGTGATGTACGACCTTGTAGAACCCTTTCACGGAATTGCATATTCTAAATAAAAATCATACTCACTGCAAAAAAGGGTCACCTAGTTATAGATATATATAAAGCCTATAGAGCACTATATAAAAAAATTCTCTAAAGTTGATGGTTTCAAGCTTTCACTTAGGTTGCAGAATTTATATGAATTTGGAAGGCTTCTCCCCTCTTTTTAGGGTAGAGGGAGGGATGAAAAAGGAACCCTATAGTGCAAAGGAATCCAGAAGTGGGTTTTTGCCTAGTTGAACCAAAAAGAAAAGAAAGATATAGCCTTGAAACTCTCTCGCCATCAATGTTAGTCAAAAAAAGGGTTGATGGTTTTTATATGGGTCTAGTCTATATTCTATAAATCCAAAGGGAGAAGAAGAAGTTTTTTTTTGGATTTTGAGTATTTTACTTGGCCCCTTTCTTCAATATCTATCATCATTTTGAAGAATCCTACTACTTTGTTCTATAAAAAGGATATCCTAGCTAGTTGACTCTTCTCATCTTTCTCTCACATAGGTTTGCACTCAGGCGCAAAGAGATGCATTGTGTAAAGGGTAGAAGTGAATTGTATGTGTGGATGGCATAACGTGTAAAGATTGTTATTTTTTTTCGTTTTCATGGGAGCTACTCGTGCTCCACCCATACGCTATGGTATGGAGTGAAAATAATACCTTATTCAAAAGAGCATGAAAAAATGCTTCAAATTTATCATCTACTTTTGTAGACGAAAAGTATGGAGCCTACTTGTGTTATTTCTTTGTTTAACATTGATCTGAAGTACCATATCATTTAAACTTAAGATCAGCTTGAATTCTCAAAAAGAAAAAGATACATCGTAAGATTCCATCCACATGATTGAGAATTTTCTCAATCCTAGCATCTAAGTCAATTTAAAAGCAAGATTTGGTGCTCCATCTTAAATATATGGACAGATAATGTAGCTACTACAATATCTTTGGGGAATAATAATACATTGTATTGGGTACAAATATGCTTTGAACAATAATCACAATGATGAGCTATCCCATTAACTTAGCTTAAATTAATAGATTAATAAAACACAGGATTCCGTTAAAATCATGTATGATTATTGTCAACCATCTTTGCCAAACTCACATTTATAAAATCACAATAATAAAATAAAATCGTAAACAAATTGTATGACCTTGTCCAAATTTTATAACTTAAAATATTATTATTATTTTTTTAAATTTATTTATTTAAAAAAATTCCCGAATCTAAGACATTTTGAATTTTGATGGCAAAGTTCATCAAGGTTGGGCCAGAGAGCAAAAGAAAACTATACTTTTAGAAGCTTAAGAATATGATTATCATCCAGTTGTTTAGTTATATCACTGACACGTGTCCAATTATGCATAGGTAGGCAATACTTTAACCTAGCTTTAGCTTAACTTTTGCCCTTTTTACCAGATTGGGCAGTGATTTGCCCATGTCTGTGATAAGTGGAGCATCTTTGCTGCTCAAAAGACCATAACGCCCTTTCCAACTTAATTTTTGCTTTACTAAAATTTAATATCAATTTTATGTAATTTGTCACCAAAAAAAAGAAAGAGATTACATGTCCTTTTATGATTTTTTTTTTTTTTAAACGTTCATGCTCTCCTTCAATTGAATACTAATTATAGGAAGAAAAATATATAAAATATAAAATGCAATTATTTCATAGGAGACCAAATGAATATAAAAAACAGAAATATTTTTGTTTGTTTAACAAAAAAAAGATAAGAATTATAAATTACAAGGTTAAAAGTTAAAATTGACGTTGTGGATTGATAGCTTTGTTGCATTGTAAATTACATAATTAACGTTGTCTATATCATTCATAGGATTTGATAGTAGTCCTTGTCGAATTTACAGCTAAACTGTTTTAAATGATTTTTTTTGGGGGGGTCAAAATTGCTTTAAAAAGATTTTGTGTCTTTTCAGAAAGAAAAAAAATAAATAAATAAAAATGGAGCACCATCCCAAAAACAGAAGCAAAATGATTGTCCACCGAATAGTAGCTTGGATCCAAACCAAATCTTCGAGACTTCCAACTCGAATTCCTATTGAAACCCTCAAAGACATCTCTAGTTCAAAACAGGAATGATATCGAAGTAGGTTTAAGGACGAACTAGGGTTAAGCTGTCCTGTTATCTTCAAAGAGAAAAACAGAAGAAAAAAAATTCAATGGTTCTCTATAAACTTAATAAATTCAAAGAACACGCGTGCGCGCACACATACACATATTTTGATGTTTTTAAGAAATCGGTGAATATTTAAGTTTAAATTCATTAAATTCGTAAATGCACGAACGTATGTATTTTGAGATATCGATGAATACAATAGAAAGATCAAGATCAGTAAGTCTAGTCATATGTCATAACTCATGGATGCATTTGTCAAATTAACGTAATACTTTGAAATAAGTAATCACTAATAAGACTAAATAATTAGAATTTAGTGGTTGAAACATAGGCAGGTGAGAAACTGATTTTGTTTACTTGAGGATAAAAGACACAAGCATAATTATTGGAGTATGACATTGAAGGAAAAATGCTAGCTAACTCAATAATCAATAGGAGGATGGATGTCGAAATCGCTGGTGTGCCAAATGTTTGATGGTGGGTTCCAAAAACACAAGAGGACTAGATAGAGTATACTTGGAAATCATACATTTACTAAAAATTTCAAACATATTAATAATTCAAATCAATCAATCGATAACGTAACGCGTCAAATACTCTTGGATACAACTTTATTTGATGTGAATTATTCTCTCTTTTTTTCTTCTTTTTTGGGAGGGTTTTTCCTGTCTCCTTTGAATTTCATTATAAACAATCATTCAAC